CTTTTAAACTCGGTGCGGAATGAAGCGTTCCCACACCTACACTCAGCTAGTTGTCATTACAGCCTCAGAAAGACCAGATCAGCGTCTAAAATTTATAATTTCAATGTGTGCGGCCTGAAATATTAGCCGTAGCTGTATAGCATAGCGTGCTAATGAAAACATTAGCTCACCCGTTGTGGCTCATGGCGGATCCATAGCTTTTAGCGTACTCTGATGCTAATCCAAGGGCTGAGTGAAGAGGACCCTATGTCCTAAACACTTTCAACTCGTGCTTCTACTCGAGCACTACATATAACCTCCTTAAAACGGAAATTCGGCGGCCGCCTTTTAACTGACTTTCTAGCCTACCCTGTTCACTCCTGGAACAGCAAATGGAAAACTGATTTTCCCTCAGCAGCTAGCCTGAGCTAACTACCTACTTAAAAACAGTAAAGCCAACCTCCCTGTTTTAAAACTCGGAACCGGAATATAACCGCTCCCAGAACCTTACCTCGGCTAAGAAATCAGACAGCCCCTGGAAGCACACAGAGCGAGCACCTAATTAATAGATTTTTTTAGAGTGTCCTAAGCTTGGAAGTTAGCTGTAGCACTTTCGCTTTATTTATTTAATTATTTATTTATTTCCGACAGCGTAAAAAAACAATTAGCTCACCGTGCTTCCGTCCAGACAGGTTCTTTTTTAGCCCCAGTGCCGGAGCGCAACCCGCAGCAGTCGTCCGCATGACGGACACAAAACCCCAGAGCAGACGAAGCAGCTGCTGCTGCCATGTTTGCGGTCCCGTCCGAAACAAAAAAGACCAGCCGCTGCGCGCGCCGCTCCGCCCCTGCAGGCTTCCGTAGTTGACAACGCCAAACTGTCGCGGGAAGATGGTCAGAAACACGGCGAAAAGGGTGTTAAAACGATAAAATAGTCTTGGGATATGATCATAAAGTCATTTATTAATGGACAGACATGGAACAGAAAACAATCACGAAGTCTGTAGGATGTGGGCCCGCCTGTCATAGGCGGCCATGCGATGATATACTGTRAGCTAACATCATGTGATAATGAACAACCAATCATAACCTGTCTCATAAAGTAGGTCAACTTGATGCTGACGTCTGGAAGGATATCACAAGATATGAAGAGTGGACAGTGTCAAGGTGATATAGACATAAGTATTCCACAACAATAATAAAAACTAAATCATTTTCAAAATTCCTGTTCTTCTTTAGAAGTATATTTCCTGGTGATCTTTAAAACAATTCTCTCAATTTTAAACAATTTTTATTCCTAAATAAATTTCTAACTAATTTCTCTCTTTCTTCTGTATATTTATTATATTCTATAGTTTCGGTTAGTCCACAATAATCACAAAATCCTGTCTTGTTTTTTCATTATTTTAAGTGTGCTGTTTAAACRTGTATGSTCAGATATAATCKTTGAGATGATGTCCTCTTCTTTCTTCTTCCTATAACTTTTTCACCCACCCCTTTTTGAATATTGCAGAAATAATTTTTCTATCCCAGTGATCTTGCCATTTTTCCTAATATATAAATTAACTTCATTTTTACTCATCTTAATAAACAATTACATTTTTATTTGTTGGACTTTTTGCACACTTGTCAGTCAGCTGCTTTCCCTCTGCCCCAGTGTGTGCAGGTATCCATATTAATTTTAATGTTGCACCATTTCTATTTTTTCTGAAAACTGATTATTTCTATTACAATATATTGTCTTGAGTCTGAATGCATGTATTGAATTCTTCTTTTTCTTCTCCTTCTTCTGGATTTTTTTGGCGGTTGATAAAAAACGTTTGGTGTGCAGTACTTCCACCGACTGGTATGGAGTGTGGTTCAGACGTTAAGTATTTCTAAATTGTTGTTGTTTATATAACTGTACATTCAAACTTAATGAATCAATTTTGTTTTTAAAAAATCTTATTATAATTTGCATTGATTTGCTCCTTAAATGCTTTTCTAAAGTGTTTATTGTGTTTATTTTTTCTTTATTCCTTTCAAACTCTTTCCTCATATATTGTCTCTCTTCTTTATATTTACAACATTCAAATACCACATGTTCTATTGTTTCATCTTTTCCACAACGGTTACATTTCTCCATATCATGCTTTTGCATGTATTGAATATTTGTTATGGTGCTACTGAACAAATTTAAACCTTTGCTGTTCTGTATTTGATTGTCTTGATTGTTTTCACCTGTGTCTGGTTGAGTTCACTGAGTGTTCTTATATATATGGTCTGATCAGTTCCTCCTCACTACACCAAACTTTGCTGTTTGACCTGGTTGATGGTATGAAGTTTGGCTTCGAGAGAATGGTTGTGTTGTTTGGATTGAAGTTGTTTGATAAAGTAAAGGAAGAGGAGTTTGAATCAGTTTTCAGGGACATGGACATGCTTAATTTGATCCTAGATTTACAATTTTCAAAGCTGGAGTATTTTTCAATGTATTCATTTTATGTGATTAAGTAAGGAAAATAATTGTTGTCTAAAGATGTAAAAGTTCTTGTGTGTATAAAATGTTTATCTCTTTTATGAAGAAAAAAACATGTTTATGAGGGATTTTTGATGTATTGTTGGGTAAATGACAACCAATGAACTTTTTTATTTTTTCTCTCAGATCTCCATGATGCCTGCAGCTGTGGTTCTCTGGATCTTCTCAGCAGTGATCTATGTGGGGAGAGGTGATCCCCAGCCATGCCGTGCTCAAGGAGCCACAGAGGAGAGCTACAACAGATCATCTCTGGTGATTTCAGCCAACAAAGACTTTGCCTTCAGTCTGTACAGGGAACTGGCCAATTCTGATTCTCAAAGAGAAAACATCTTCTTCTCACCTGTTTGTGTTTCTGTCATCTTGGCTGCTTTGTCTGTTGGGGCACGAGGAGACACCCACCAACAGATTTTTGATGGTCTGGCTTTCAGTAACTTCAATCTGTCCCAAACAGATGTAAACCAGGGTGTCTGTCAAATTGTTAGAATCGAACAGGCAAATGAGGGCATCAGTGCAGGTAATGCTGTGTTTGTAGACCACCTGTTCAACCCCCTGCCTGAGTTCCTGGAGGTCTTGGAGCACTTTTATTTCACTGAGGGCTTCACTGTTGACTTCAGCAAAACTACAGACTCCATCAACACCATCAATGAATACGTTTCACATCAAACCAATGGAAAGATCAAGGAAGTGGTCGACAGTCTGTATCCAAATACAGTCCTGTTTCTCCTCAGCTACATTTACTACAAAGGTAAAAATGTCACTTGATTTACTTTTGTTTTTCTCCTGTAACACTGATTTCTTTTCTGCTGATCAATTACAAACAGGAAATTGGGTGACTGCATTTAATCCTGCCCTGACAAAGATGGACGAGTTTCATGTAGCTGAAAATGAGACGGTTTGAAACTTGCAGTTGTATATTCAAAATGGCGGTGTCTTAATTCATACAGTTCATGGCTTTTATTTATTTTTTCAGGTTTTAGTCCAGATGATGAAAACCGAAGAATCCTTCTATCTTTATGATGYAGCAATCAGCACCTCAGTCCTCCACCTTCCCTTCAACAAGTCCTGCTCCATGTTGCTGCTGATGCCTGATGATATGAGAACCCTGGAGAACATCATCAGTCCAGCTCATGTCACTGAATGGTTGAGGGCTGAAAAGTCCAGGTAATAAGAACCACATTTAAGTTTCCATAAATCTCTGCTTTATCTTTATAGAATCTGCGGTGCTCTGATCAGCTTGTTTAGGACTGGAAATTTGCCTTGAACACAGCGTCTCTTCCTGCTACCCAAGGAGTTTAAATCTCACATGTGATTGGTCAAACACTGTTTCATTGTATGATTCTTTAAAATGACTGAATTTCACTATTTTCTAATGTCTTTGGTTTCTTAACTTTTAGGTACTGCAACGTTTATATTCCAAAGTTTTCCATCAAGACCTCCTACGTGCTGAATGACGTGTTAGAGAAAATGGGAATGACTGACATGTATGTTGATGCAGATCTGAGTGGGATTTCAAAGGTGCATGACTTGGCTGTCTCTGAGGTAAGGAC